AAAACACAATAACCTTTGCAAGAAGGAAGGTTAGCATATCGAATTACGATACTTTGGAATCTATTGAAATATCAAAAAGGACATAGTCACGCTTTCGTTGTCGTTGCATCGCTTTTGCCTTAAATTACGGCTTTATTCATACAGAACATGCATATTATGATCTGCAGAACATTCGTTATGGACTATAGTCAAAACGCCTCAGAAAACGTTGAATCTAATCAACATTTTTGAAGGTAACTTGCACTGCACTAACACTTTACGTCGCATTATCTTTCAATCAAATCGATCGTCTTGTGTTATTGTCACGAGTGACAGGTAGTGGATTCCACAATTCACAAATTTACTTGTCTGTTTCAAGTGTTCACTGTCTGTAAAATCCACGGTACGAATTTGGATATCCTGGTGCATACCCCGGGTAAGTTTGCCTCGCCGCATCCGATACCCCAGCTTATTATGCCCGCTAGGAAGTACCTTGAGTCTTTGCCTTTGACCTGCATAGAAAAAAGAAACGTTAATAAATGTACAGCAAAAAATAAAATGTTCTATACAACTATTATCAACCAGTTATGTCTAATATTAATTTAAACCACACTATGTTTCACTATAGTTACAAAATTTATTAATTAAATACATTATTTTTGAAATTTTCCAACGAACATTCCAATTACGTTACCGATGTTTTACAAATTGTTATTAAATGTTATTTTATTTTGACATTATTATTAAATAATTAAAATAAATTTATTAGTAGTTTTAATGGCAATTAGTATTAATTAATACATATTAATTAGTACTGCAGTTTTATGTCTGCTTGGGATTTTTCATCGGAGGAAACAGTGTAAAGGGTCAAAAACGTTGATTTGTTTGGAAAAAAAATTATAAACGCGATTTAGATCCGATAAAATAGTTTCATTTCCTATGTGTAACAATCGCAAAAACCTAAGAACTGGATAGTATAATAATAGTCTACTAAGTAGTACAAAAGCTTATCAAAGCAAATAAATAAATATCGATAGATATCTCTAATGAACACTACGGCAACTTTATTTTGTCATCTTCTGTTATTTTTGTAAACAGCCTACATATTTATTTACTAATATTATACTCCCCGAATTTTGTGAAAAAAAGATAAAGAAACAAAAACAAAATAACCGCAATTGGTTTAGTATTCATTGGATGCAACGAGATATTAGTAAATAGGAGACTGCAACTCAAATAAAGTACAATACAATACAGAACAAGCGTAAAATATTATTTATGTTAACAAGTTATTAAAATTAACTTTAAGTAACAGACTCAAAATTATCCATATTAATAATGTAACATTGTTTTGCGGCAGTGAATTGCTTATGGAATTAATACTCTTCGTCCCTTTCAAATGGGTTAAATGACGAAGTTTGTAAATTATAATCTCAGTATAGAGTACTAAAAAAAACCGACCTCAAAAGTACGTGGAATTACGTCTATTTGCCAAATTTTATTGAAATATCCCCTAGTTCGCCACTATACGGGACTTGACACAGGAGATAATAAAAATCGGTTCTCACTACTCAAAGTACATTGAGAGATAAAAACGCCTTGAATTGAAGAATAGCAAAACCAACCATTAAAATAATTGCTCCTTAAGTAAAATTTAGGCGCTATTTATAAAAATGAATGTTCATGCATGATCAGAGGTGGATGATTTTCTTCAAAATAAAATGAGACCACTATGGAGGTACCCTCTTTCCAACAAAAAAAGAATCATGAAAATCGATTCACAAATACTGGAGTTATAGCGTAACATACGTACAAAAAAAGCTTCAGTCGAATTGAGAACCTCCTCCTTTTTTGAAGTCGGTTAAAAAGACATAATTTATTAAATGAACAATTTAGCCATACGCTTTACAATTTATTTCATTTTCTCCCAATTTATTTTGATTTGTGAATAATACTAAATGGATATAATACCACTTATCTTATATCAAACATATATAATATAAATATAAATAAATAAATATACATAATTTCCGATTCAAAGCTTTTGTAAAAATGGGCTAATAAAGGAAATAATGTGATTTATTTTTCTGCTTACTAAACTTCTTATTGATCAAAATTAACGAGCATTCTTGATTTGCGACATTATAAACTTGGAATTTGAATACGAAGGATTGGACAATGGATAAGCAACACGCAGGTTTAGATTTATAAAACGATCTTTACCTTCAACTAAGCAAAGTTTTTCATATTTACAAAACGAACTTTTGCTCAAGTTTAAGGCGAGGTATTTAAACTAGATGTTAGGATGTGAGGGAGCTTCCCGCAGCAATCTACGCGCTGCAAATTAATTTGAATAAAATAAGAACAGGCGGAGACAATTTGACACAGAACTGACGTTGACAAGCGCCCGATGGCGACTGATGGGGAACTGGTGGCGCGGTGTGTCTATACACAATTGGGCAATTTTCAAATTTTAGGATAAATGTGAATTCAAAGGGCTTCAGCTGAAAGTAAAATTTTAGCAGGTTCTCTATAGTACTCAAAAAGAAATATCTTTGTATAAATGTTTAATAAATGGATTTTAAATAATCAGATAAAGTACATCCTATCGTGTAACAGATTAGCACATTCTTTAGCAAATATCCTTGGGTGTATCGTGTATTTTGTTGTAATTGTGTGATATCTAAAAGTAAATACCTAAACCATTTGTTCTGCCAAACCAGATTTCCAGCTTCTCCTCCTGTGACTCGCCTTAAGCAAGAAATTATGAATAATATCAAAGTTGAATAAAATTTCTTGCTTATACAAAGTTCGGTTTCAAAATACAAAAAACTTGCTTGCTCGCCATTTTTATGTAGTCGAAGCTCGTTTTACAAAGCTCAGCTCAAATATTGTTCAATATATTTCTCGTGACATGTGAACATTTGGTTATAATTATTTAGGAGCTCGATAAGCAGTTAAGGAGTCTCTTGTATTCCATTACCTGTAAAGGTCCACCAGAGTCACCCTGGCAAGAATCATGGCCGCCCTTCTCATGGCCAGCGCAGAGGAAGATGTCAGGGATGAACTCGTGTCTTCCAGCTCTCAGAAACATTGACTTACAGCGATCATTCGACACTATTGGGACTTGTACCTGAAACATTTAAACAGAGTCTTTAGCAGACTGTTCTGAGAAAACAAGGGCTTCGAAGAATTAAAATAGATTCTCTCTAGCCATATGTTATTTTTAAGATCAAGTTTAAAAAGTAGACTTTTTGTGTGTGAAAAACTACATTATAATGCAAAATGGATACACCTACAACTTCTAATACTTTATCGAGTACTTAGGTTTTCGCGATTGTTACACAATGGAAATGAAACTATTTTCCGGATTTCAATCGCGTATATTTGTTTTTTCAAACAAATCGACATTTCGGGCCCTTTACAGGTGCCATGGACACGGTCGACCATTTAAATCCGGAAAAATAGTTTCATTTTCAAAGACTTTCTTCTTAATAAAGCTATTTTCATTCCAATATATTGTAGTGAGAATGAAGTGTTAGGTAATTATTAAATATTGGGTACTGTGTCCGATCAGTTACATCCGTGAAGCCTGCTAAAGGCTATAGAGGCGACAGCTCACTGATCCAAAGAAATTTAACACAGATTTGTTATTTTATTGGTTTCGTCTTTGACTGCACAAGAGGAAGAAGAAAAAGAATGTATCTTACCTCCTGCAAGACGGATGGCAGCACACCTCCTTCTGACAACCTTCCCCATCCAGTCACCGTCGCGTTTTCTCCCACCAGCAAATCATCAGTAGCTGGCAGACAAATCGGCGATATGTGTGGAGCAAACTGAACTGGAGATTCCAACTTCACCAATGCAAGGTCATACTCGTAAGTGAAGAAATTGTATTTAGGATGAACAGCCTTTCTTGCAACGCCGCGTTCTACAAACGGGTATTGCTCAGAGACCGATGAGAAGTCATACTCTCCGACGCGTATTCTTATCTGAGACGTGAGGAGGCTGTAACACGTAATTTCGAGAAATTGTAAGATGATAGTGAACTAACTCAGGAAGTTGGTTGATTGCAATCTTTCTAATTATAGTTACCTTTTCAGACGATTACATTTTTCAAGTTTGTCATTTCGCAGCGTAATGTAATTCAGATTACCTTTAAAGTAGTCATTATTCTACTACAGATGGTTTACCAAATCTAAAAAGCTTATAAAATAACCACTATAACGTAATAGGTGTAGCAGACCTCGTAACATGAGAAATGCCTCCGCAGAAGACTATGCTTATACTTACTCATCCACACAATGTCCAGCAGTAGCGATCCAGCCCTCATTAATGATAGCACCTCCACACCGATGGGTGGACGAAAAACCGAAGAACGATGTACGTCTGACGGAGACCTGCCACGGCCACCGACCGAAACTGGAGTCTTTGCCGCCCATGATGCGGGTTTCTGGTCTTGGCCACATTGCTGTGACCCCGCATTCTGGAATTTCAGTGGGAAACTTTTTAATATTCCCTAAATATATTACAGTTGTATATATAATTTTATGAAACTTCGTGAATTTTGGTGAAATAGTTCCTTCATTATTGCTGCATCAGGTTTCGGAAGCTAATAATTGCTTATAGCAGATACATGAAGATGTTTTAGAATTATTAGTAACTATTCATTACTCACCAACACTATTAGTAGCCGCAGTTGTAGCAATCGGCGTCGGCGTCACCTCATCTGTCTTGTTGATCATATTCAACGCCGGATCTTTCGGCTTCAAGTAGTTCTTGTGCGGTTTACTTGTCGTTGTTGTGAATTTCTTCGTCGGCTTCGGTTTACCAACTGGCTTTTCCCAATTTGGACGAGGTTTTGTTATGAAGGTGGGCTCAGTTGTCGCCTGCCAGTGAATTGTGTTCAGGTTGCTTGGTCGGGACATGAATTGAGCTGAAATTTATGAAAAATCCAATTAGGTATCTTGGGCGTAATCGAGCTTATTCTTACAAAAAAGTTAATTGACTATGTACAACTATTTCTGTCTATTATTTTTTTTATTTTATTTTTGTGATCTGTATATTGTTAGTGAATCTTTATATTGTCTTATTTAAGATTTACACTAGTTTCAATGGGACCACACTTATATCTAATATATTGTTGAAAATACTACACGTACATACTTATTTAGTTACCGCTAAACCTTCTGATAAATTAAAGCCATAGTAAAGGGAATTACTTACATTTGAAATTCCTAAGGACATACTTAATGAGAATGGCTCATAAACTTATTATGGACAATGAATTTGTAAGAGGACAAGATTGCATGGGATGGATTTGGGAAATATCAAGTTTCTTAATATTTTTGTTCAATAAACATGTTGAAAATTATGACATTTAAGGTCGTATTCTAGAACTCTACTCAATGCTCAAGTCAGGATTGCACTGGAAACACAAGCACTGAAAATACGACCCTAATGGCAGGGACTTCAGTATGATTTCGAGTGCTTTTTAAACCATACTCAAATCCTGACTTGAGCATTAAGTACATAGAGTTCTAGAATACGACCCTAAATTTAAATTATCTACAAATTAGGTAGTTAAAAACACTAAGACTCGTAGATTGATAGGGACAAATCAGGTAGTTAAAAATACTAAGACTCGTAGATTGATAGATAGCCCTTTACAAAGGCAAATTGATCAGTTAGTTTAAATAAAATACAGCGCCATCTATACCAAAACGATTGAAACGCTCTCACCTGAAGAAATGCTGTTGTCTGCGTGTTGTTCAGAAATGGCCATAGGTCGCGCACCTGCCATTATGCTAAGACTAGACGAAATCTTATTGTGGGGACTAGTTTCCACTTCACCACTCGGCCTATTTACATTTTGGTACTTATTTACACTGTTATAAGTTATTTTATTAACTATATCACTATTTTGTTCGCTACTTGAATCTAAATTTCCTAAGGAAGGTAAGTTTATTTCTGGCGGTCGGTAACCGTAAGGCGCGCCATCTATTGGTTTTGTCATGAACGACGGCCTCTGGGTTTGCATGCTCGGCCTTGCGATAGTTTGTGTTGAAGTATCTTGCACGTGATGCGTTATGCTGTGTCCCCCGCTGGATGGCGCTGAGTACGGTCGGTCTGTTACAGTGACCGAACTTTGAGGTTCTGAAAGAAAAATAATGTAAAAGTTCGTTATTTAATTGGAACAGCTCATATGAGAATGCCACAATAATAATAGGACACGAAACTAAAAATTGGTACTTAAAATAGTGCAATAGGACATATTGCTTCATGAAGCCATATTTCTTTTTAAAGTAAGTTAGTAATACTGCATTAAACTACTTTTAAAAAGATTCTTGCCTCATTTGGAAATCGAACCAACCAAATATGGAAAAAAAAACATTCTGTACTTTTGTACTTAATGTCAATCGAAAAGGTCAATATTATAAGCATTAATTCCTTGTAAGTAACTTAGTATCATAGAATATTGAGAATAAAAAGCATCATAATTGATGAGACATAATTAAGTTGAGAAGTCCCATGTGTCTGTAATTTCACCCTTGCCCTTCAAAACTGGAACACAATAGGTAATCTTCACATTACAGCTTGACCTTCGAATAGGGACGGAAGCAACGTGTCAAAAGTCTTTGAATCGGGTATTACTTACTTTGAAAATGAAGCAAAAAACCTATCTGCAAAATATAAAGCACTTTCCACCGACTTCAAAAAAAGAAGGAGTCTGTACTGAGATTATAATTTACAAATTTCGTCATTTAACCCATTTGAAAGGGACGAAGAGTATTCATTCCATAAGAAATTCACTGCCACAAAACAATATTACATTATTAATATGAATAATTTTGAGTCTGTTACTTAAAGTTAATTTTAATAACTTCTTAACATAACCTGGGAATAATATTTTACGCTTGTTCTGTATTGTACAACTTACGCGGAGGTATCGATGTAGATCAGCGTATGCCTTGTTCTCGACGTCTTATAGTAGTATATACATAGATACAAGTTGATAAAGTTACGACTAACCATCGACATAAAGTGGTTTTTCTGGTAGCAGACAGCAAGAGCCGAACATGAAACCGTCGACGCATACACCTGCATGCTTGCCTCCTGCTCGGTTGCACTCCTGCACCCACATGCATGAGCCTCGCGCGCCTCCCGCTATGCAAGTCTTGCGCGACATTTGGTAACCTGTTGAAGAAATTACATAATTTTTTAGAGAAAAACCTTCAAATTTATTATAACATTACCTTCTAAACAAAAAAAAATTAAAGAAACGATGCGAAAGTAAAAAGAATGTACATAATTCGTCTCAGGTATTATAGAAGCTGACATAGTGTACAAAATAAGTATAGTTTCACTATGTCCGGCCATACATTAGGCGCATACAAATATTGAAGGTATCTTAAACATTCACATGCACTTCTACAGATTAAAGGACACAAATATCATTGAGACCAGTGTTTTTTTTTACATTACATGGGAGTGCACTATATTTATTTGTAAGTCATTGGAGTGCACGTGTGTGCGTTTAGATTACTGACATCCGTGTGGATGTCAGTAATCTAAACGCGCTAGTAGTTATATCTGCATATAACTATCAGCTATAGGATTATCTATTTATGTAGGTTATATGGGTTAACTTTATTGTTATTTTATGTTTTATTTTTTTGAAGAAACTAATTCTAGAAAATAATATAGATAATTAGTGTGTTTTCCATATAATTTTGTTTTTATTTCAAACGATTTTCTACTCGTCTTCTCATTTAAAATTATTTTTTTATCTTTTTCAAAATGTACAACGCCATCTATACAAAAGTTTCAAAACTTCAAAGAAATGAATCCCAGCACACAGCTTAGATGGTTTTTGTTCCTCATTGTTATAATTATTGTACTGATGACTAGACAGATGGCGTTACTGGTATTAAAATAACTTATTTAAATGATTATAGCTATTTTAAAATTATTGTATAAACAAACATCATTGTTATTACGAACAACACGAGAAAATTCTCGATGATATTTCGAGGAGTCAGCATTTCAAGGACACAATACTTAATGCAAAGTATAATCAGTCAGTTTTATGACCAGGTTATTTGTTGTATCACTCTCACAGTCAGCCCAATTACAATTGTACCTGTAAATACTTTACCATCTAATCTGTAACTCCAGCACAAGAAGTGGAGACAATAAATTGTACAAGGTGGTTCAAGCCTTAAGCTTTGATTTATCGACTGCAACTTCCTTAACTAGCTGTCTTTATACCATAAACCAATACCTTTAGACCTTATGTTTAAATCGTTTAAGGTTTATTTTAACACCAACAAAATGCAAGCCTATTCCACTTGGTGTCAAAAGATTTGGCATGCGTTGACAGCAAGTCCCGAAGTTTTCATAAACTCCGTACAACGAAACGGGACTTCAAGAACCAAAAAATATAAATCATGTGAGATTGATACAAGTATGGAAATTGTAAGTTTATAGAGGCACGAACAAAAGCACCTAAGGGATGGTAAGCAGTGAATTTATTGCACTTGTCGCATAGTTTAAGTGTTTTAGAATAAATGTGGTAAACGGTATACTAAGATTATTGTAACACGGTTTTTGTTTCTGGTTATCATTGTCAATAGCGGGCTTTACACAGACACTCTATCGCACACGATACGAAACTAATACGAATCGGACGTAGTGCGCTAACGCTCTAACGATCAATGTTGCCATACTAAATAATAATAATAATAGTTTTTTATTAATTTAAGACCTTAGGTACTATGTTAGTTTACAATTCAATATTTACAAATATAATAAAATAAAACTCAATCAAAATGAAAATTCAAAATTGAAATAATATAAAATTGAAAAAATTTAACTTTAATAACTAAAAATTTAAATATTATAGTAATATTTGTAAATGGAAACAAAATAAAGAAAAATAAACAATAAAATTGAATAAAAGAAAATAAAATAAAATAGAAATTGCCCCCCGGCTTGGCTCCGCGTTTTACAACTAAACATTTTCAGAATGCTGTTGCAACTTCTACGTGTTCTATGCAGTATAAATGCTGTCTTCTTTTTCATCATGGCATCAAGTCATCAGTCCGCGCATCTACGAACATGCCAGATGCACTACAATGACGCGGCAGTCCCAATAAATAAATAAAAAAATAAATAAAAAATGAAATTATGATGAACGCATAGCTTCATTTTTATAAGGAGCAATTTAGTTTTAAAATTAAATATAATGCAATATTAGTAGACTACACTATCGACGTGCTGCCGACTCGCCAATAAAGAGCAGTATTCTGCTCCAAAAAAATGCAATGTCAGTTGAATAGTATCTCGATGGTTAGCCACTGGCAGTGCAGTGGCTACTGCTCTTAACTATTAGCAGAATATCGAACGTGCAAAGTCCAGCAATTAACAGGCTTTACACAGACACTCTAACGTGCGTGATACAGCAATCACGCGTAATTAAGCGCACATGTAGAGACTTTGGTAGGAAAAGGGAGAGACCGCGCGATTGCACTCGTTAAACACGCGCCAGTTTCACGCGATCTATCCTCGCGATTAGCTTTTACACGTACGCTCTTTCCGTTGCAACTAAAACGAACACGACAATCGCGGGCGTAAGAAGGTTAGTTTAAAAAAATCACAAAGGTAATCGCTGACGATTGCGCATGCAAGCGTTCCGGCGTGCAATCCTGTACGCTCCTGACCACGCGCGGTGGAGTGAATGTATAGGGGGCTAATATCATTTTCTAATTGGTTCTATCGTAGAAATCATTAAAAAACTTTATTTTTCGATATAAACTTTGTGGTTAGGACAACGCAAAGTTAAAATTGCGTACAATTACCCATTACTCACTGTCGAGTTTCTCTTCATTTATAAACAAAAAGGGAACATTATATTTCAAATTCTACACCAAACCTAAATTCTACAAATTGATGACAAACAACCTGGAGATGTGTAGATTTACGAGATTATGTAAATACCACTATGTAGCTATGGAAATAGGCAGCTTTTTTTTACAATATCAAGCGACAGCACGAACAATTCGTGCGCCTGATGGTAAAGTACATGGCTGTCCATAAAGTTTCAATGCCACTCAGAGCTTTAAATCGCAAAGATTTGACGGGCACTACCACTGCGCCCGTTACCCTGCGACATAAGTTGACAAGTCCCATGTGCCTGTAATTTCACCAGCACCTTTACCCTTCAAAACTGGAACACAGTAATGCTGATATTACTGCTTAGCGGCAGAAATAGATAAGGTAATGGACAAATTCTTTCACAATGGGCTTTACTGCTACTAATACAGCTTAAGAAAGAAAGAAAAAAGTTTCAAGGGTATAGTTATCCTTTTGCTGTTCAAACAGAAATCAATACCGTCAAACGAGGAACAGAATCATTTTGAAAATGTGTTACATAATGATCAGGCAGTCATAGATTTGTAAATTTTTAGTGGAAAGTAAACCTTAAGTATATGGAGTTTTCGTTCAAAATGTGGAGATACAAACTATGAATGTAATATAAGAATAAATATCGATGAGTTCCAGGAACATTAACCTATCTCAAGAACACCTAAGAGTCTATATTATCTCAAATGGCTTTGGTTAATTCCGCATAACTGTGAAATTGTTGAATCAATCACTTTGAAAAAGAAATATAGTAAAATTTCGAGGTAAATTTGTGTTTCTTTCCTATCTTGAACATTTTTAGGAATTGTGTTTTCACACCGTACAGTAATCAGTGTACATCCTCAATTTTACTATATTTCTTTTTCAAAGTGATTGATTCAACAATTTCAC